GTTACTAAGATCGCGAAGTAGGTCGTCCTCCATCGTTCCTTTTCGCTTCGCGAATGCGAAGTCACGCACGCGTGTGTCTAATGATTTTTTTTTGTTATCTCGCGGAAAACGAAATAGTATTTTAAGATTGTTCCCCTTTTTCTCTCTCTGTTTCTTAAATTTATTTATTTTTTTTTTTTTTACTTAAGGGGTTCCTAAACGCCGTCCTGTTTTATTGATAAAACATTATTTTTGCACATCCTTTTCCTTTCATTTGTTGAATAGAATAATAAATGCTTTTCCACGATTAAATTGTATGTAAAAAAAAAATTAAAAATTTGTTCTTAATATAAAATCGGTAGGTTCGCGCTTTGTTTCTACATGTACTTAATCGTGAAAAGGCATTTATTACTCTATTTAACCAAAAATGTTGTTTTATGAAAAAAAGCAGGACGCCGTTTAGGATCTCCTTAACTTTGGACAAGAGGACGAAAACAATACGCAAGAATCGTTTGAGCGTCACTGCCCAATTTATGATTTATCTGTCACGATGCGCGCGCGCACACACGTATAAGTACACACACGTGTTCGCAAATGATGCGATAACGCAGGGTGGTATCCGACGCACATTATGCAGTTCTCCGCGTTCATTATATTTTTACGATTACAAGGTTATACCCGGCGCGGAATCCTCCGATTGGCATCAGCGTTTTCCTTGTCGATCGATTCGACCGACTCGAGAGCGGATAACACAGACGGCGACGCGAAAAGAACGCGTCGTCGACGATAAGTCTTGGCGGAAAAAAAAACCCACGGCTGTTTACCACGATCGGGACCGATAAAAAGTGCGTAGCTTCGCGCGATTACGTGGAAAATTAGCGCGTATATATATATATAAACTTACGAAGAGTTGCGATATGAATTTCAAGCAGCTGTGATTCATATACTAGTTTTTCCTCTCATCTTTTCTTTTTTTCTCTCTCGCAATATTACCGTCCCCGCCGCGATTATATGCAAATCGGCGACGGTATATTGTCGCAAAACTAATATTTTACACGATATTATTGTCGACGAGAGTATCAAGATAAGCGCGAGAAGGGAAAAAAAAGGGGACGTAAATGAGCGCGTTCGGAGACAAAAGCAATCGTTTTAAGGGACAACAACGCAGATGGACATGCTCTTAAAGTACGAAATATCGATTTGGTATTTAATATCTGCCGCGCGTGCAATTTTTTTTATTTTCGCTAAATAAATAATTTCCACATTTTTTCTTGTTTACGCGTAATACAAGAATTTATTGATTCGGCGAATAATTCCGATTTTACTCGCCGTTCTTTATCGCTCAATAGTTGTAGGCAAAAATTGTCCATTTTATTTCTCTTCGGATTTAATTTGCATGAAAGAACCGAATGAGTTAATAAATAGATACGCGAACGTAGAATAATGATTGCGGAAAATCTAGATCCGAAGAATCGCGCGCGATAGAAATATATGTTTGAGCTTCGAGTATAGAATTTAGTGAACAAGAGAGAGAGAGAGAGTCGAATTTAATATGCGATATCATTTTAATACCGCGCGGACGGATGGACGGACGCTGTGTAACGTCGCGCGAATTTAATTAATCGTATTCCAGAATTTATAACCTGCTGACAACATTTTTGATATGGTATTTGGAAACTTTATGATCCATTTGCCAAACGCCAACTCTCTAATCAGACTCGCGTTTCAGAATCGCGGCGAAACTCTCATTTCAATGTACCCTCTCACGGTCCCCCAGTCATTAACGGCATCGTCACGCGTAAATATTAATTAAAATCCCATTTTCAGAGGAATACCGATTTGTCGGGCGAATATTCTAATTAAATCTACGCGAAGCGCGGGATCGGGGCGGTATAGAACGAAATTTCTCGTCCTTCTGCCCTTCGCAAATGGATTGATCCGCGTAATACTTTGGACGTTATACTTTCTCTTTTTTTCACACGAGTGCAAAATAAATCACGCTTCTGTTCGATTTCAAATCAAAAAGGTCAAAGATTTATATCATTTTGTGCAACGGAATAACTTTTCTTTCTTCGGGAATGAATTCTCCGTTTGATCTCAAATATATGTTGAGTTCGCGCGTCTACGCCTCTCAAGGAAGTATCGTATGCTGTGCGTTTGAAGGATTCAATTAAGTAAAGCAAGCGCGCAGATCGAAAAGTAAAAGTGCGCATACATTTTTTTTCTAAAAAAGCGAATAATTTTCTAATAACTCGGAATCGAAGATCGAGACCGAGTGTGTTGCATTATTAAGTTTAATGCCGCTCGAGAGATCATATAATTAAAATCACACACGTCGAAGAACCCGTCTTCTCGAATCAAACGTAGTCGCGAAAGAGCATTTTATATCGCCGCCGATTAAAAACTAAGATAAGCGATGGAATGTAATGACGATACGTGACAAGTGCATTGCGTGTTAAAATAAAGTGGTCGGTATATACGTTCGTGAAATATCACAGAAGTCGCACAGGAGTCACGATCATCGATCGAGACGTAGACGCGTCGACTATATATTGAGACGAAGAAAGAAAAGTTGCGATACTCACGAATCGGCTGGAAAGAACGCAAGAATTTGAGCAAGAACAATTCGTATAATCATCACAGCTCTAAATCAAATCACTCAACTAACCCTAGAATACCAAATCAAAATGTATCTACGTCATCCTCAAAATCCTTGAAATACTGCGATCGAAGAGTTGAAAATTAATTATTTAATCAATTTCATTATTATTAAAATGTATTATTCTAAAAACAACCCGTGTCTAGTGCAAAATTGATTTCACAAAAAAATGTTAGAAAAATCCCAAGTTTGACAGTTGAGCATTCTAGGGTCAACTTTGAAGAGATTATCTATTCGCGGCGCGAGTTCGGATCGAAATTGGTTCGTATTCGATACCTTCCTATTCTCCGCGAGGCGATTCCTTCCTTCTCGGTGCCGTTTTGCAGGCCTCCGCGCACGGAATGCGATGAATATTTCAGAGATCGATCGACTTCGAGCGACTCGGCTCGCTCGGCGGGAGAGGGAGGCCCTTGCGAGGAGGACGAACGGAAAGTAAGTGGCTGCTAAATATACAATGCGCTCATCGAATCGCTTAAAAGGAAGAGACGGGAAAAGAGCTCGTTTCGCTGCGTTCGCATGTGATCGTCTGCGCGGCCTGCGCGATAGTATATGTTTATGTCGCGCCGAATTCAATTAAATCCCGCGGAGGAAATCAAGCAGTCGCGTCTTTGCCTTTGAGGAATTGGACCGGTCGACAACGATCGTCTCCGATTAATTTTCACACAATTGCGTATACGCGCTAATTACCTTACTTTACCTAATAGGAAAACAAAAGTACACTCGAATACTGGTTCTCGTATCACTCGAACGTTCGGGTCGTCGTGTATATCACGCGGATGTATCGTAACAGACATGCGAGATTCGCGGATGGAAATCCAAATTAATTTTTCTTTCTTTGCGGACAGCTTTTGTTATATTTATTATATTTTATTAAATTAAAAATGATTAAAGAGTAAGGGATTCCTGAATTAATGATTAAAATAATTTTGTCATAAAATTGTTAAAAAAATCATGAAAAAGATAGAAAGATTCTTTTTTGATGCTGCGCATCAGGAATGTATGGGAAACACATCTATTACTCAAACATCCTGTCAAACGGATCTTTGTTGCGGATATTCGCGCGTATATACGACGCCGCGTTTGATTCATTCATATTTAACTTCGAGGCATTAATCTGCGATTAATGATCGATGCGCTGTTCACTATTGAGCGGTGAACTGTGGAAATGAAATCCACGTGGGAAACCTATCTATACCGTATTTTTTCCAAGAGCACGCACGTCCGAGTGGAGTCTCCCGAGGACTATAAATAAATAAAGATGAATTCGCGAGTATGGAATAAAAGACGGTATTACACGGAAACCGAGTCTCACCGCTATTAAACTATCTAACTATCTTAAAAAGAAATTGTTAAATAAAAATTAGACTATATATATATATGTATATGAATAAAAATAGTAACGTAGGTGTGAATCGCGTAGTCAGGTATTGCACTGTCTTCAATGGCCACCGCGTCATCGCGTACTCATTGCAACTCTTGCGATCATCTGTCTGTGAGAAAAGTTGCATCGGAAAACATATCTGAGAAGCTTCGCTCGATTTTTTGTCCTCGAATCTCTCTGCAGAGCATTTCGCGGATTCGTCGGATCGCGCGAAACACTTTTCGATGCACGAGAGACGAAATTGATCTATATTTTCGGCGCGATGCGGGTCGTAAGTCAAAATTGAGTCCACGATGAGAGCGCGAAGGAAGATGATCGGTCGGCTTGAAGAAAGAAAAAAAAAAATGAAACGAATCGAAGAAGCCACTAATGCCAGCACACTCGTAACAAATTCTCTCTCTTTCTTTCTCTCCCCCCTTCTGAATTTTTTTCCTATTATAAATTTATAAACTGCGTGTCCACACCGAATCGAATTGCACCGCGTAGAATTTCGCTAAGTGGACGTTTCCTGCTTACCTTTCTTTTCCTTTTCCCTCCTTTCTTCTCCTTCCCAAGCGCGTTTTCAACATTTCCAACCCCCCGTCAACTGTATAAAATATTCTCAATCGTATCAACAACAGTCGCATCGTACATCGTACAACGTTAGTACATTATTACAATAGTTTCTAGTTAATCGTAATCAATATAATATTCACAGCATTTTATCAAAATCTCTTAAAAGCACCAACCTCAAATTCCCTCCTTTCCCTCTCCTCGTCCACTTCTCGTTTATTCTTGTCGCTTTGTCCGTTTCTCCCTTTCTCTCTTTTTTTTTTCAACGAACCTCATCTCGCTCATGTGTGTGTGTGTGTGTACGTGTACGTGTGTGTATGTATGTATGCATTTGTGTGTAAATATATATATATATATGTATATATATACCTTCAATAATTTATCGATATATATATACGTATAATTTATAATATATATATATCTATATATATATATTTATATATTTATATGTATATAATAAGCTAAACGTTTCGTCTTAAAGCACTGATTAAACGAGGGAGCTCGTTATTAACGTGTCCCTCCCCCTGAACACGCGTTTACCAACCATCCTAACCAAAATCACAGGACTAACTAGAAACACCGCCAGCTTGTTGCCCCGTCGCTCGATTGTTGGGGAGGGTGGAAGTAGGAAAGGGGTGGCCGATTGGTGGGTGCGCGATGCGTGAACGATCACGCGATCAGATGGAGACGATGATGAGAGGAGACGACGAGTAGTGGTGTCGGGAAAGAATCGGGAGTGGTGTCGTGGGGTTGCGGGAACGGGACGAAACGTGCGGCGGCGGAACCGGAAGCGGGAACGACACCGTCGTCGTTGTCGTCGATGCCTCGGCTTGACGGCGGCGGCTTTCTCTGCTGCTGAGACTAAGGCGAACTCAATGATGCGGCGGTGGCGGCGGCGGGGCCTCTTCCTCGGAGGGGTCCACGGGGCTCGGGGACAGGAACTTGCGCACATATTTCGGGTAATGTGTCTTTTCGTGGGCCTTGAGTATCGTCGACCTCGAGAAGGTCTTGCCGCACAGGGTACACCGGAACGGCCGCTCGCCGGTGTGCACGCGACAGTGGTCCTTCATGTGGTGGCGCAGCTTGAACGCCTTGCCGCAGAACTCGCACTTGAACGGCCGATCGCCGGTGTGCGCCGGTAGGTGGGCGATCAGCGAGCCGACGTCCGGGAAGGACTTGCCGCAAAACTTGCAGAGGACGACGCCGGAGGTCGGGTCCGAGTGGGCCGCGAGTTCAAAGTCCATCGGCTCGATCGTACCCGCGGCGGGATAGTGGGCCTCAGGCGGCAGGTGCATGCCGGGCTCGAGGCCCAGCTGTGCCTGCAGCTGCAGGTGGGCCGCCTGCTCGCGGTACTTGAGCGACTCGAGGCTGTGCGAGAGGATGTGCCGCGTCAGCTTGCTCTGGTGGAGGAACGAGGCACCGCAGTACATGCACGCAAACACCCGCTCATCCACACCCATCAACTCCTGCAACCAAACAAACAAGAACATCAACTTCTTGTCTTCCCTTCCGGCGCTCTCTACCCTCGCGGGAAAGACTTTGTCTCCAAGACTCTTTCTCTCTCCTCTTTCATCTATTTTGCACTTTTACTGCTCTAAAAGATCTTTTTTTCTCTCTCTCTCTTTCTTCTCTCTCTTTCTCTTTCTCTCTCTCTCTCTATCTCTCTCTCTCTCTTTCTCTCTTTTCTTTAGCTTCTGTCTTTGACCTAGTCCCGTAAGTCCTAACGCCATATTTTAATACTAATTGTGCTACAGACTGCAATAACGCCTAACGAATCGTTCGCCCCGATACTACCCGCAGAATATACACAGATGCACACATATATTACATATATGTATATATGCATATGTTATATAGATATATGTATGTATATATATATACCGCAGCGCATTATTATTTCTAAAATGCATGAGCGCTGTGGCTACTTTGAACGGATAAGAAAAAGATAACATGTCTTTCAGCCTCGCGTTGTGCTCCCTTTTCTCTCTTTCTCTCTTCCTTCTTTCCTTCCTTCCTTCCTTCCTTCCTTCCTTCCTTCCTTCCTTTCTCTCCTCCCTCTTTTTCTCACTCTCTCTCTCTCTTTCTCTATTATCATCTAATTCTTTCTAAATGCATCTAAGTTTTCGGTAAAAATAAAAATAAAAAAAGGACAGGCAAGCTCGTTCTCTCGACACTACTAAGCACGTGTTACGACTAAACAAGGTTTTCTCTCTCTCTCTCTCTTTCACTCTCTATCTATGTATCTATCTATCTATTTATCTATCTATTTTTCAGTTTTCTTTCGTGTTCTAATTCACAAGTTTCATTCGTTCGGAGGAGAAAGTGTCTCCGGCGTGGCGAGAAGTTGACGCTTCTCGGCAGCACACAAGACGGTATTCACAAGAAGTTGACGCTCATTTTGTTTGGCGCGTCGCGCACCCCAGGCACATGTATATGAACAAACTATTTGAGTGTGTTACGATGTATATATGTATACGGATATGTGTTCCCGAGCTTCTACCGCCTTTTGAATTTTTCCCACTTATGAATTTTTTGACCAAATTTTAAAAGGTGAATTGAAAAATGTGATAATCATAAGCGTGTAGATGAATAAATAATTTTAATATAGTTCCCGATTTATAAATGGAAATGAAGAATTTTCAGCCAAGTAAATTCGGAAGCAAACGTAAACTCTGATTCGCCCCAGATAATTTGGAACAGATCTGTCAGCGAAATCTTACCGTGAGGCTGATATGTGTTAAGATATTTCAAGTACTAATAATGTCAAAAAATAAGGAAAAAATGTGTCATCAGATTTATTTGAAGAAAGATCGACTCTAAATTGGTCAAGAAATTCATAAATAAAACAAGCGGCGATAGTTTCGGGAGAGACATCTCGTATATATATAGATATAATATGTATACGGGCCCATAACAACCCCCACAGCCTCGTTCTCAACCCGTTTCCCTCGTCCCTCCTCCCTTTTATTGTATTCGCAGCCGCGCCGCAAAATTTATTCGCCGTAGCAAAAGGCATTGCACTCAACCAAAACGACAAATCGAAATACAGATATTACAAAGTAACAAATGGTATAATGAATATGTCAATAATATTTGCCAATATATATATACATATACATATATATATGGTATATGTATATATTATGCAAAAAAATATATATGTAAATATATATATAGATATTTATACCACAGTGTGTATAAACGATATGCGATGTATACATAACGTATGTGTATATATATATGTATATATATTTATGTATATATATATATAAATGTAGTAAAAAACAACCATGGCCAAAAACGAAGGTCAACTTCTTGACAGTGAGCTAGCAAGACAGGCTGGCAGGACGGGAAAGGATTTGTTTGGCTTTTTGTAATCTCTTTCGCTTGTCAATTTTTTTCGTCTTTCTCAAGTGGTAGATTTTGAGCGCACTCTCTTTTTTTCGGTCCCCTCAAAGCACGTGGAGATTGAAATTCACGGACGGAAGGGATCGACGATCAGCTTTACACACTTGGATCGCGAGCTGCACGCGTAACGAGAAGAATGCTGCGCAAGAGGGATAGAAGAAGGAAGTAGTACAGAAGTACGAAACGTATCGTTAAATTAAACATCAAAGTTTCGTATCCATTTAATTAGAAACTTTTCATATCCCCCCAATAGTTTTAAATTCATTTTTTGCATTATGTATTTTATGTTTGTTTCGAATTTCATCCGAATTAGTAACAGAAAATTGACGAATGAGAAATAATCTACTTTGATCTAATAAGGTTCGCACTTCTGTAGTTAGATTTAGAAATCGGAGTACGATGGATAAAGTAAAATAAATAAGTAGTAGTAAAAATTGGAAAATAAATAAATATAGGAATGAAAGAGAGAAAATAGAAGAGAAAAAGAGAGAAAGAGAGAGAGAGACACAAAGTGTGTATGTGTCTGCAGCATGTCTAGTCAAGAGAAAAAGGCAGAGAAAAGACAAGAGGTTATGCATAAGGAGTGTAAGACAGTAAAATAGTTTGGAGAGAAAAAAGGCAATAAGTATATGTATTTGCCACAATAGATGGGCATGCACGTTTCTTTGCATTTATTACGTCTCGATGAAAATGGCTTCTCGAATTGGCGTCGAATATGACACACAAATACAAAGCCGATATCGAAAAAAGCTACGATTATTTATCACAAATAAGTCTCTGGAAAAGAAGACTTTTTGAGCAATCGAGAAACGAATGTGACATCTCCAAAAAAAAAAAAAAAAAAAAAAAAAAAATGTAAATTCCGGTAAACTAACTATATAATTTCTTCAACATTTTATAAAGAAAATCAATCACGTTCAAAGCTTTCAAATCTTTATCTGTCAAAATCTTCACCGCGATATAACTAATCTTCACTATTCTTCTTTCTCTCTTTCTCTTTCTCTCTCTCTCTCATTCTTTCTCTCTCTCCTTTCATAATTAAAAACGATATTTACATTATACTCCGCGAAAAGTCATGACCGTACATTTCACAATTTAGCGAACGAAAGATTGTGCGTGGAAAACAACACTTTCGGAATAATATTCTGTCAATTGACAATTGACAAGAGCATCAACGTTAGTATGGTAAAGTATATGAAAAGGTGTCTCGCGTGTGAAAAGAACTCGATCATAGGGAGCCTATCTCGTTACAGTATCAAGCTCAATGGAACGAGCGTGAATCCTGCGAGATCATCGATCCTCCAGACACGGGCGGCAATTCTCGTTAATGACGCGACAATTCTATCAAATTAGCGGGGGAGAGCAGCAAACAGCAAAGCACTTGGGTACATGCAAGAGACCCACATGCAAAGTGAATTCGGCGCACACACACGTACGCGCGTGCGTGCGCGCGTGTCATGCGTTATGCGATTATATATCATCGTCGGATTTTCGGAGGGTGAAGCGAAGTATATCTACGTTTATGTATCAAGTACGTATCGACGCGATACGTCAAACTCTATCGTCCATTCTCACCGGGTAGCACGTAACGAACGATCTGCCGTGATCTGATTATAATAATAATAATAACAGTAATAATAATGACGTAATACACACGATACATACTGCATCGCGCGATGCGTAATTGCAGTTGCAACTTGGAGGGACTTGGCGCAGCAGTAGTACATCGTCGTCTCATCCGCAACGTGCCACTCCTGGCGACGTTTGCGGATGAGCGAGACGATAACGGTTATCAATAATATATGTATATATAGGTATATATATAATATGTATAGAAATGCAGAGCAAAGAGAGGATACGAGAATAAAAAGTAGTTATAATAAATTGGAAAATATTATATATATATTATATATATATATATATATATATATATATGTATTATATATAGACGACTCGCCGGAAAAAGGGGAAAACTCACCGGATCTGGCGGGAGTCTGTAGTCTGCGGATATCTCGCTGCTCGCGCTACGCTCCTCGGTCGACCTTTCCAGTCCATCTCTTTTTTCAGGGACTGTAACAGAAGAGAGAGAGAGAGAGTGCATCGGGTTTAGATTCAAGTAATAAAGGAATGCGCGATATCGTGTAGCGTAGAAATTATTTTTTTATATTTTGTATTTTATATTATTATATATATAATAATTGCAAATGAAAATATTATCGCTGTTTTAAACAGCACAAAAAAGCATTAGTAATAGAATTATTTTTTTACGTTAAAAAATATACGAAAAAAATCATTATCGAATTCCAAGCTCTATAATGACATCATCTTTCTACGAATGTATCTCAAAATCCTCGACGTTAATTTTTTAACAAATTTAGAATATATATTTAATTATGCGTATACTCGAATATTATCGATATTAATATCTTTAAACTTAAAATGAATTTATATTCTTTTAAATTCATGATTTCTTATTTTTATCTATATACTCGAAGCTTCGTTTCAATCCTTATGTAAGTAACCTGTTAACCGGGCAAGCAGGATTCATTATAAAGATGGGCAGCTAATATTAATATCTTTAAACTTAAAATGATTTATACTCTTTTTAAATTCACGACTTCTTATTTTTATCTATACTCGCAGCTTCGTTTCAATCTTTATATAACTATAAGTCGTAAGTGGCCTGTTACCGAGCAAGCAGGATTCATTATAAAAATTGGCAGCTAATATTAATATCTTTAAACGTAAAAAACTAGTATACCCTTTTTAAAACTCACGATTCCTATCGGCATATCAAGAGGAGAAATAAATAATATCGTATACATAATATGAATCGCGACTACCGAGTCTCCGGAATCCGCTTGCCCGGCTCGAGTTTCCCCGTGCAAGAACGATCTTATCGGTATACTCACCAACGGAACTTGCTGAACCGGGGGTAAGCCCGACGGGCCGGCGAGAGGTTCGGTACTGTGCGGGACGGAAGCCGGCTCTTGCGGCAGATTCAACGGCAGCACGCCGCCGGGCGTGCCGCCGCCAGTGTTGTTGCTGAGACTCATGTCGGATGGTCCGCTGTGCACCGAGA